TCTGTGACTCCTTTCCCCTACCTATCACAATAAATTGCAAAGTGCACTAGGGATGTCAATGTATAGTTGACTATACGATTAACCGGTAAGCCTAGGCTCATTGATTAATCTTGTCAATTACTTAAGAACATAAGAATGGCCATACTGGGTCAGACCAACAGTCCATTCAGCCCAGTATCCTGTCTGCCGACAGTGGCCAATACCAGATGCCCCAGAGGGAGGGATCACAACAGGTAATCCTCATGTGATCCCTCCCCTGTCACCCACCTCCAGAGAAACAGAGGCTGGGGACACCATTCCTACCCATCCTGGCTAAAAGCCATTGATGGACCTAACTTCCGTCTCCTCCAATTACCTGGTATCTAATATCCCTAAAGTGCACTAATAACTAATTTGTACTTGGAAGGTGATCATTGGTACAAAGACAATCCTGGCCAATGGTGCGTTGATCGCTGTAAGTGGAACTCATACTTTGGCACTGGCAGCTAAACACCACTCCACTCCTCTTATTGTCTGTGCACCTATGTTCAAGCTTTCACCACAGGTAAGTGTAGCAACTTTGATTACAATCATTTGCCCTTTGTGGGGTGGGAGCATAGCTCAGTGGTTTGAGCACTGGCCTGCTAAATCCAGGGTTGTGAGCTCAGTCCTTTAGGAGGGCCATTTAGGGATCTGGGGCAAATCTGTCAGGGATGGTACTTGGTCCTGCCATGAAGGCAGGGGACTGGACTCGATGACCTCTCGAAGTCCCTTCAAGTTCCATGAGAGGTATATCTCCATATATTCTATATCTCCTGGCAAACAGAAGGGCCTATCTTGCTTGTGAAGTGAGGAATGAATAGCACTGACTGGCTAAAATACCGGTTGGCAACCTGGAATGCTTCTACCAACCCTGGTAATGCACCTTGAGCCCTAATACAAGGGCACCCCTCCCCATTGATGCACTTCTCCCTAACAGCTCTGCTAATGCAGCTCAGGTCTTTGCTCCAGCCCTGACTGCCAGATATGCTGAATAGTGGACTCTTGTGATATAGGCTAACATCCACTGGAGCCTGAGAGCTACCATACTAATTTCCCTTAATTCAATGGTGATTTGAACTCACATCTTCAGAGGTGAAAGGAAATGTTTAGGACTTTCCTGCTCTGGTCCTTCGATATTGTAACACGGATCCTGTTTCAAGTCACAGAAGAGTGGCTTGGAGCAGTCATGTCTCTCCCCTCTTGTCCTATCAGGATTTCCTGTAGAGCAGCCACAACATAATCAGGCAAAGGACTAGGAATGTGTGGCTCATCTGAATCCCTTGCTGCAGTTTCACCTGCAGTTGCCTTGCACATTCCAGACTAAAGCTGCAGGTGACTGCTGTACCTTCTACAGACTTAATTTGTAATGTAAAGCATTTACTTAGCTTGATCCCTTCCAGCCCCAGCTCGATATGGTATAATGGGGATTGGTGGCGTCTTCTGACACTATTGCTTTTTCTTCCAGTTCCCTAATGAAGAGGATTCATTCCACAAGTTTGTCTCCCCACAAGAAGTTCTGCCATTCACAGAAGGTACTGGGCCTCTTTTTTGTGTGGGATTTTGAAGAGGAACTAACAGGGTTGATTACAGCTGACAGGAAGTGACACCCATCTTACAAAGTTAAAAACTGGATTAGCTTGTAACCAAAGGCAGGAAACACTTCCCATTGTCTTAAGCTCCGGAATGATTTTAACCTCTGACCTAATGTACATGCAATTTGGCTGATGGGAAGAATGGAACAGGGTTACTGCTGAACTCCATACTTGCAGTTGGGTTCCTGCCCTACGGAACACTTTTTATTCATGTAATAATTTTTTTTAAAATCAAGTTTCTGGTGATGACTGCCTGCTGGTGGGTGGCACAGACCTAGTATAATGTCAGAGAAACCAAGTTAGCTTCTGCATAGCTCTCATAAGTAGTGGGACTTCCTGGCTGACATGGTTATGTTTCTACCGTGTGGCTTAAGAAAGATGAATTCAAATTGGAATAGATACAGAGACGGGCTACTAGGCTATTCAGAGGAATGGAGAATTTTCCTTACAAGAAAAAAATCCCCAAAGAGCTTGGCTTGTTTTGCTTAAGAAACCAAAGGCTGCAGGGAGATGTGATTGATTTCTAGGAGACACTAGGCAGTGAAAGGACTGAAATTAAGTGCCAGTGTTGGCACAAGAACAAAGGGATATAAAATTGGCCATTAAGTTTAGGTTTAAAATTAGATGAATGTTTATAACCATCAGAGTAGTAAAATTCTGGAACTGCCTTGGCGAGGGAAGTAGTGGAGACAAAAACCCTAACCTGTTTTAAAACTGGGCTTGATTCATTTATGGAGGGGCTGTTATGGTGCGGTTGTCTACAATGGTATATCACTCATCTACAACTGCTGTTAGCAAATATCTCTAATGGCTGGAAATAAAACACTACTAGCTGAGGAGGGCAGAGTTATTACAGCCATTTCTTTTGGGTCTTGTCCACATGCTCACAATCTAATTGATCACCATACTGGGGATAATATGTTACAACCCTCAGACCAGAGTGGCAGAGACCAGGGGAGGGGAGAAGGGGTTGCCTTTTCCAGTAGCATGGGGCACTAGTCACATGCTGGTTTGAATAGAATAAATGGTGGAGTCTCTGTAACTTGCTCTCTTTACATCAAGATTTGAGTTATTCAATCCTAACTGAGCCAGTGATTCTGAGCCTATTGCAGGAAGTGTGGGTAAAGTTCTGTGGCATGAGACATAGGTCAGACTATGTGATTGTGATGGTCCCTTTGGGCCTTAAATTCTGACATTTCATCTTCTAAAAGATGAAAGATCTGGTGCCCATTTATGTAGCAAACAAACTCCCACATGAGTGTTTCTGTGCAGCAGGACCCTGCAAGCGCCGGGCTATGGCAGTTTTGGGCCTGTATTGTGGCATTTTGCAGATTTTTCAATCTGAAGGTTCTTTTGCTTAGCAACAGCCATCAGCAGGGAAAGTTCTATCATACTTCTCAAGACTGTTCTCTATACCCATAATTCAAATAAACCTAACATGTTGAAGCTGTCTTGAATGTTATGCCATCTCAGTGCTGACTTTAGGGGGTTGTGGGACAAGGGTCACATCTTGTGTCCAGGCAGCGTATAGTGAAACCATGCTCCACATCATCTTGTCCATTGCTCATCTCTAATTACATGACTGTTTCCTTTTCAGGGGAGATCCTGTCAAAGATCAGTGTTCACTGTCCGGTGTTTGACTATGTTCCCCCAGAGCTGATTACTCTCTTCATCTCCAACATTGGGGGTAATGCACCCTCCTACATCTATCGCCTCATGAGTGAGCTCTACCATCCTGATGATCATGAACTCTAAGTTCTACTGGCTTGAACTGCCTTGGTGTCCAGGCTCTTCCTATCTTGTTCCTTGAGGAGATCCAGCAGTTAAATGAACCCAGGACTGCAGAAATGGGGGTGACTGTCTTCAGAAGGAAGCATCTGTATGGAGTACAGAATTCCTCCCTAGCCAAGAGCAGTAGAGATCCTGGCTTTGCTTCTGTCACCTGTATTACAAGCCCCACACAGCAGTTTTTAATCTATTTTATTTTTGGAACTGTTGCCATTCTTGTGTATTTCCACAAGTTCTGATTTGATAATGGACAAGGTATAAATGGGATTCTGCTGTCATGAAGCTGCATTACCTTAGTGTGCTACAAAAAAGATTGCTTGTAGTATGTGAGCATTTTATTCTTGTATAGAATATTAGCCAACAGTATTCTTCAAACAGAAGCAGCACAGTGGCCCTGGTGATGAGCTGTTGTTGTAGCAAGATAGCTGTAGTGACTTTGATAGATGCAAACTAAAAGGCCTTATCCATTCTTTTTAGCTGTGTCTGGCAATAACAGAGCACAGCAATTCTACATCACAATTTAGGGTAAGAAATGAAATACCCCCACCCCTTTTCTGGCTTTGTTTAGACTCTAAAATTTGCTGAGCCAGGATTCTTGCTTTTAATTTAGGCACTTAAATCCTGTGTTACAGTAATGTTTATAAATAAGTAAATATGAACTTGTAACATAACCCCTTACTGGGATAGAAATAAACCCCAATCTAGTTAAATCTGCAAGGTGAATAGAAGAGCAGAGGGAAAATAAAATTAGAGTATGAGCAGGGCTTCTTATCCTAGAAATGCTCTAGGATCCTTAGTTACTTTCTCTAGTGAACTGGCTATATTTTTTGAGATCTCCCCTTCACTTTGAGAAGAGGACGGTGCTGTGAAAGCTGCAGGCAAGAAAAACAGCAATCTGGGGTTGTTCTGCTATTAGACGCTTGGTTGACTAGTGACAGTTTTGGTTCTTTTATGGTCTGACTCTGCCTACAAAATTTGAGATCAACTATACTCATTCCAGTCAGAAAGAGGCTGAGGAAAGAGCTGTTGGTTTATTAATAAATACTTAGCCCTCTATACTTCCAGAGCATTGTAAATAGATTAAAACAACCCTTCTATGAGTCCTGCCATTCTCAGAAGAAGGGAATTTAACACTTTCAAGTGTGAGGCACTTTCTACCATTGAATAGCCAGTTCTGGACACACAGTATAGTCTGTCAACATAGGAGTATACATTCCCTGGGATGATCTCTGCTCCTCAAAAGGTCAACTGTGCAGGTAGGATTTCTGACACCACAATGGCTCAGGAGTTGTATCTAAGCAAGGAACACTAGTTTCATGTTGCTGGCTAGAAGTTTGAGGGGTTGTGTGACATCAACACGCCTGGAGAGGCTGGTTTTCACCTCACAGTTCTATACTGCTGTCCTTGTTTCCCAAACAGCTGCCAGGCTCGGGCCATTCTCCGCAGTTTAGCCAAATTAGGTTTAGGCTGGTAGGAGAAAAGAGAACAACAGAATTGATACATAGTTTCATTAAGCAAAAGGGATTTTACTGACCTCCACAGTCCTTTCCCTCACAGACAGATGCTTAAGTGTTTTATCAAATCTAATTTTAAGTGTCCTCCATGACTTCCTTAGTAGATGCCAGTTTCTCAGTCTCATACAGTGCTTTGGCAGCAGAGTGGGTAAATCTACTGCTATTTGAAAGGCCGAATTATTTAGGATGATGGGAGTTATAAGCAAGAGACATGGGATGAAATATAGAAAAATCTATGCTGAACACCAGGAGAACATTTTGACATGTTTAATTTTAAACACTATAAACCCATGAAAGTAAATGGGGGTACTCTTGTGAACACTCTGAAGAAGTGGGTTGTGCCCATGAAAGCTCATGATGCCCTCTACATTTTTTGTTAGTTTCTAAGGTGCTGCAAGACTATTTGTTGTTTTTTAAGTTTTTCTTGTGAATAAAGTTACTCACCCTCTTGTTTACAGGATCAGGGCCATACTATTCAATTTACTTTCGTAAAATTCAAATACCCTACCAGAAGTATAATTTAAAAATAGTTCATTACAAACTTTAGATGAAAATATACAATAGTACATATTTTTCAATTAATTTTACAAAACCTCAATTTGATTTAAAAAGCCAATCCGTGTAAAAATGTTCTTCTAATGTTCAGCCTAGATTTTCTTTATTTCATTCCATGCCTCTTGGTTGTAACTCCCATCACCCTAAATAATTCCACAGTAGCAGATTTACCCATCCAGACACAGAACACATGTACTGTTTTAGGTAGTCATTTCCTAAGAAACTGAGTTATGAAAGAATAGAAAAAAGCAAGAGTACTGATATGCTGTGGGATATCCCATGTACTCAACATGTTTATGGAACAGCACACTTAGTAGGGAGCTTTAGAAAGGGGCACATTATTGGTTCTTTCCCCACTACTAGTTATCTCTTACATAGTTAAAATCTAACTTAAAAAACAACAAATGGTCTGGTAGTCTGTAAAGTGCTAACAAAACATATGGATGGTATCATGAGCTTTTGTGGGCACAGCCCACTTCTTCAGATGACTGGAGTTTATCTAGTTAAATCTATTTAGTTTTAGTCTTGTTCTCTCCCTCATAAGTCTGCAATTCCCTAGCCATTTTTTGTTGCTCCTCTTTGAACTTGCTCCAGTTTGTCCTTATATATGAGTTTATGACAATGTTTCATTGACAGAATGTTACTAATAGTGTGACCCTCTAAGATGACACAGGATAGCTGAATAACCATTGTCAATGGCCACTTACTAAGCCTATGCAACTTCAGGAAGCAATAGTACAGGAAATAGCATTTTAACAGTAGGATTCTAAAGGCAAATATGCAATACACCATGTGAGTGGAGTCTAAAATAGCATCTGGCCCTTTGTGCCCAATAAAGTCGCATCCTTCATTTATACACAATACTGTGGGGAATAATACAGGAATAGTTAAGGGAGGAACAGGAGCTATAGATTTATTTACACCACATGTGGTCAATGGTTATTTCAGTCAGGATACCGCTGCTTGTATTAAGTGGTGGATACAGAGCAAACTGTGTTATTGGTTAATCTGAATTTGGATGAAAAGAATTAGCAAGATTTAACACATCTTTTCAGACAACACACCCTGTGCTTGTGTTTCTCCACCTAGCACTTCACACTGTACCTGCTTTTCCTGCTTCAGATGATCTATGTCTGCAAGTGGCATCATGGAAGGTCTTCCATGAGCACACTGGAAAGGCAGCTGGCAAGAGGACAAAGCTTCAATAAGTTGGCAGCTCTCCTCCTTAGTCAAGCTGTCATTAAACTTAATAGCTCCTGAAAAGAGAGGCAAATTACAGCATGTGCTGGCAAGAGCTCAGCTAACAAGCTCCCCTCTGGGAACTATGGATGGCACAGAAGTTAATATAGGCAGCTCCCACTTCCTTCCCCACCCTGAGACCACAAACCAACAGCACAGGCCACAGTACACCATACTTCAGCTCCAGTTAATCAGACCCCCCCTCCCCCCCCAGAAGCCTCCTGGCACATACACACTAGTTTCTCCATAGTCTAAACTTCTGGGTCTTGTCTGAGGCTGCTAGTTGGCAGGGCAACTATTTCCTTGCTTCCAGATGCAGACAAGGCAACAGGAATAACTTCTTCTGGAACTAAAAACAAGGTCACTCCACAAATGAAGAGTAACCAAAGTTAAGAGACTGAATACCTTACCTAGGGTAAATCTACACAACATTATTTCGAGATAACTAGTGTTATTTGAAAATAACTTCATCCATGTCTACACAGGAGGCAACTATTTCAAAATAACGTCAAAATACTGTCAAGCTGGAGGACTTCTTACTCTGACTCCTGTAACCCTCATTGTACAAGGAGTAAGGGAAATCAGAGGAGGAGTGCTCTATTTCAAAATAAGTGCTGTGTAGATGCTACCAATTTTGAAATAAGCTATGCAATTGACGTAGCTCCATTTTGTGTAGCTTATTTCGAGTTAAGCCCTACTGTGTAGACATACCCTTAGAGCCTTCATGCAACCACTGCAAATCCAGGCAGGATAATAAGGTATCTCTGGTACTTTAACAATCTTTATCTTTCCTAAACTACAGAGAGTGTGAGAATCTATGGTTTCATTTACTTCCCACTTTAACAGTTTGTACCCTTCAATTCAGAAAGGTACTTGGTCCTGCTCTTCTAGCCAAAAGAAGTCTTTTCTGTAGTCTGCTGCCCGTAAACTCTAGTGTTGTGCCATTGCAACAGTACTACCAACCCATATGTGTCTTTTAGCCATAAGGGGAATATTAATGCAATATGCAACATCACTGCTGGCATGAAGAGCTAGAATTACTGCCGCCTGCTTTGGGCTTCTGAAAGCCCAGAAAATGCACTAGATGCTCAACATGGATCTAGACAATGGGCACTTCCAGGGGCTTCAGAATAGCATATGCTGTCATTTATACAACTTACCATTTGGGGCAGTAAAATATGTGCTCTTTGACAATAGGGCAGCCCCTCTCCCCCCATTGAATTATAAATACTCATATAGACTGATGCACATTAGGGCTCCATTTTGTCAGCATTTCGTATCTGAATAGGAATGTGAAGCCACAATGCAAATAAGGGCAGCATGTTCTGTCCTTGGCAGACCTTTACAAAAGAGGGCAACTGCTTCCTGCCACCTAGTAGACACCCTGTCTCTAAAAACTCAGACTCCTCCAACCCTTCAATGAGCCCTGTTGTGCCACAGCCCCAGAATGTGCAGTGTAGAAGTGAAAAGGTAGAGAAGTTCAGCTCACTTACCATGGCATGCTTGGGATGCCAGCACCTTTAGAAAGGTTAGTGGAAGTGTCCCTTGTGCACCTCCTGTGGTTTGCAATAGCTAAAAGTAGAAAGAGAATATGGTCCAACTTTCCAGTCAGTATGAAAAGGAAAGAATAGTAATATTAGAGAAGGAACAGAGGAGGAAGACCTAGTAAGGCCCATCTGGTCCACATCTCCCCACTGTCAATCCTTAAGAGCTAACTGCAGATATTCTCCAAGGTTTTGTCCCGTTCTAAGCAACAAAACTTTAAGTAGACAGACTACTTCAAAGAAGAGTACTACTTACCTCAACTTGTTCTTGAATCAACTCCTGGAAAGCAAGAGGCAGAACAATCAGTTACTATTTTTTCCCTCCTCACCTGTTACATCTGTTCTCCAAACATGGCCATATTTACTGTATCAGTTCCAAGCCACTCACTGTGATAAATAATCAGGAAGGATGGGCTAGTGGTTGGAACATAATCCTAGGCAGTGGGAGATCCAGTTTGAAGTCCCCACTCTGCCATAGATATGGACAAGTCACTTAGGGTGCATCTATACTGCACCATAAGTCAAAATAAGATACGCAATTTGAGCTACGCAAATTACGTATTTTATTTCGATGTTATTTTTAAATAGCTTATTTCGAAATTTGGTGCTGTCTATACAGCACTTTTCTCTAAATAAATTGATATTCCAAAACGTCCTTGTGGACTGAGGTTTACAGGGATGTTGGAATTACTAGCCCGTAATATTTTAAAATAACGGACACCCTCAAAAGACACGCTGCAATGTAGACACAGCCTTAGTTCCCCTTTGCAAAATGGGGATGACAGCACCTCACAAGTATTGTTCCCTCTAATCTTTTCCATCAACGTGCAAATGTTTTCAATCCATGAGCAGAATACATTTTTATGTGCACTGAGGCATATGTGAATGTGCACCATCAGTAGAAACAAAAAAATCTAGCAGTGGGAGGCATTTGCCTTTCTCCTGAATGGTCGCACATGCACACAGCTCACAGGAAACATTGCTCACAGGGATGTTTAGAAGCTAAATACATTAATGATTGTGAATTTCAGGTATCGTATATATATAGTAGCCCAGTGTCTGTGAGTCTGTAACGCCGAAATGCTGGCTGTGCCCTCTGGGCGGCCCGTGCTGCCTGGGGAGTGCGGGGCCCAAACGGCCGCTTGTGCCACTTGCTCCCCCACGGCGACCTGGCTGAGCGGTGCAGAAGTCAGCCGAGTGCCACAGTGGGAGGCAAAGGGGGGGCAGGGCGGTGACGTGCAGCGTGACAGCGGATCCAGGCCCCGCCCCCTGGCTGTGAACATCACCACCCCGCCCCCCTTCACCTCCCGCTGTGGCGCTCGGCTGAATTCTGCGCCGATCAACCAGGCAGCCGCGCAGAAGCAAGCGGCCGCATGCAGCACAGGGAATGCGGAGACCAAACGGCCATTTGGGCTCCACGGTCCCCCGAGTGAGAGGCAGGAGGGGGAGGAGAAGTGAAAGAGAGACAGAGAGAGAGGCAGGAGGGGGGGGAGAGCTGAGAGAGAGAGGGGGGAGGCAGGCGGAGGAGGGGAGGAGAGAGAGAGACGGAGCGAGAAACTGGAGGCTCAGGAGAGAAGACTGACTCATAGACTTTAAGGTCAGAAGGGACCATTATGATCATCTAGTCTGACCCCCTGCACAGTGCAGGCCACAGAATCTCAACCACCCACTGCTAGAATAATCCTCTCACCTATGTCTCAGATATTGAAGCATTCAAATACTTTGAAGACCCCAAGATGCAGAGAATCCTGACATGGAGGAGAGACCTGAAAATCCCGTCTTATGGCGGGCTAGTTGGCTAGTTATATAATTGGCGGACACCAAATGGCCACTTGCACCATTTGCTCCTGCGCGGTGGCCCACCTAAGCAGTGCAGAAGTCAGCCGAGCGCCACAGCGGGAGGCCTCCTTCGTTTCCCGCCGTGGCGCCAGGCTGACTACTGCGCCACTCAGCCAGGCCACCGCATGGGAGCAAGTGGCGCAAGAGGCCACTTGGGCTCCGCGCCCCCCATGCAGCACAAGGAGTGCTGAGCCTAAACAGCCATTTGGGCTCCATGGTCCCCCAAGTGAGAGGCAGGAGGGGGAGGAGAAGAGAAAGAGAGAGACAGAGAGAGAGGCAGGAGGCAGAGGAAAGTTGAGAGAGAGGGGAGAGGCAGTAGGCGGAGAGAGAGAGAGAGAGACGGTGCGAGAGACCGGAGGCTCAGGAGAGAAGACCGACGTGGAGGAGAGACCTGAAAATCCTGTCTTATAACAGGCTAATTGGCTAGTTATATGATAAAGGCCATGAGTACCATAGACAGAGGGCCAGACTGAAGTCACCATAGCGAACTACCAAACTCACTGGAATTTTCAAGATTGCAGTAAAAGGGCAAACACCATATAATTTCCAGAATCTGTTCAAATCCAGGTGCAGGCTCTGGCTGGGAGGCACTTACTGTAGACGACTCTCAGCCAGCATATCAATGGGACCCTCAAGCAGTTTCTCTTCCAGCTGTGCACCCGCAGGCCATTCAAAACGGCCAGCTGCTGCAGCCAGACTATGTCTCTCCATTCAGGACACCCCTGGCATGGGGGTGTCTGCCTGTTGTATGTGACCTCGAGCATAGCCCAGGTATATCCCATTGGCCAGTTCCCAGCCAATGGGAGTTGTGAGGATTGTGCTGGGGGGGTAGGGGTAGGATGTAGAAATCTCCCTGCCTCCAACAGGCATACGCTCTGCAGAGACTCAGCAGCCTGCCACTTTGAGCAGCTTGTGGGCTGACAGTCCCACTGGGCTGCAGGACATTGGCAGCCCAGACCATCATAGCAAATATTTGGCAGGCCAGATGTGGCCCATGGGCTGTATTTTTCCCATCCCTCTTCTAATGCTTACAGGTGCAAAGAAAATCTTCAAGCGTGAACTGCAAACAATTAAAGCAATTTCTGCCTTAGTTTGCAAAATGCCTGAAACAATAGCTCTGAGAGAGATGAACTGATCCTATTTGTTTAACTTTGACACCTAATGATGACAATTAAATGTCAATTTTGTTAACTGTGTTACTATTGATCAAAGTACTCAAAAAAGAGGGGCAGTCAAATTATGAATGATCTATTATAAAACATATATGATTTTGGCATCATGAATGGATGAAGCTTGAAGTGTGATCAGAATACAAGAGATTACTGCCACTTATATTTTTCAAATCTGATTCTTGATTACAGATACTGTTTCATGCCATCAACATTTTCCAGGGAATTTCAAAGTTTAATTCTTCTCAAGTGCAACTGAAAGCCACACAGATACAAGTGGAGCAAAGGAATCTTTAAAACAATAATGTTTTGATTTGTTTTTGTCTTTAAATGCAAGACTCCTTGCATCTCGTCCACCAGGATTTTTATTTCATACGCCTTCCCAAATCTGCAATCATCCCTAATTATATCAGTTAGGGTATGTCTATAATGCCACCCTAATTCGAACGAGGGCGACTAATGTAGGCATTCGAACTTGCAAATGAAGCCCGGGATTTAAATATCCTGGGCTTCATTTGCATGTTCCCGGGCAGGCGCCATTTTTAAATGCCCGTAGTTCGAACTACCTGCCCGTGGCTACACGCGGCACGGACTAGATAGTTTGAATTAAAGCTCCTAATTCGAACTACCATTATTCCTCCTGCAAGGAGGTTTAATGGTAGTTAGAATTAGGAGCTTTAATTCGAACTACCTAGTCCGTGCCGCGTGTAGCCGCAGGCAGGTAGTTCGAACTACGGGCATTTAAAAATGGCGCCCGCCCGGGAACATGCAAATCAAGCGTGGGATATTTAAATCCCAGGTTTCATTTGCAAGTTCAAATGCCTACATTAGCCACCTAGTTCGAACTAGGGTGGCATTATAGACATACCCTTACAGACTTATAGTTAGCCTAGTTATGAAACTAAAAGAAAACAAACATCACTGTCTGATGCTAATTATGCCCAATAATAATAAATTATAATTAGTGCTTATTTTTACTAGATCTCAAAGCGCTTTACAAAGAACATCATTACTATTTAATTGAAGTAGCGAGAGATGAGATGAGTTCCCCTGAGTTACGTCAGCAGTCAACTGGGAATATAACTGAGCTCTCCTGAATCCCAGTCCAGTGCTTTATCAAAGCTGCTCCTCTATCTAAGGTACATGAGCTCGCAGGTACTATCAATTCTGCTGCAACACAGAGCAAGAGGAGAGAAGCTAGTGGTTCACTCCTCTTCACCAGAAACAGCAGGAACCCTCTTAACCAGCCTTGTTGCTCACACTGCTGAACACTGGCCTCCACAAATCTCTTTTTATTTGTATTACATGTACAATTATAGTCTTTCCATCTAGTCATGTAGCCTCTTATGCAATTAATAAGAAAATCTTTGCTCTGTTTTATCCCACAGGGATAGTGTAACATTGATAACTCATGCGCCTTTCATTTTCTGGAGGAGCTACTTTCTTATTTAAGATTAAAAGTACACCTGCAAAAAGGAATCCTGAGCCAAATTAACATAGTTTTGCAGAAAGCATAGCAAGGGCTCTCTTTAGCTCTCTCACTTGGGAGCCACTCTTCAAACATCCTGAACCTTTAACATAGAGCAGAATGACACCATCACAATGCAATTTGCTCATGTTCTGCATCTAGGACTAACCTCCACAATGCTTTTAGCCACAGGCTGTCTTTTCCGTCGTAATTCATTGGCCTCTCTCTCCATAAAACACAAAGGAACCTTCCCAACTAGAATTTGGGAGCTGTTGTTTTCTGGAAATGATAATTCAAGGCCTAATTCCTCCAGGCTTTTGTAACAGCACCTGAGAAGAAAATCTTAGAAATTAGATACTGAAACACCCTCTTCCACACACCTACAGGATCAGTCTCAGAGATGGATGCTTCTGCACTCCTCATGCAGAAGCTCCCCATCTCCTCCACCTACATAATAGCATTTCAGGGTTTCCCAGCATTGCTTCTTTTTGAGTCCACTTTCACCTCCACATTTCTCTCCATTCAGTTTGTGCAGAATGCTGGCTCCATGTTTCTGAGATCCCAAGAGTTTGCTTTATTGTCCAGTACACGCTGGACCTCCCAAAACTGGAACTCTCTGGTCTGGCAACATCCAGTGGGACCACAGAAGTTCCTGAACTGGTGAGTCCTGGCTGGGAGCCCCAGTGGCAAGAGGGCTGGTGGCTCAGATCCCTGTAGGACTGGGGCTAGGGCCAGAGCCCCAGCAGCGCAGCCAGGGCTGCAGCAGCCCCAGTAGTGGAGTCAGGATATGCAGGATGCAGCAGGCAGGGCAGCCACAGTAGCAGAGCTGGGGCCAGGGACGCAGCAGCCCTGGTTGTGGGGTTAGGGCCACAGCAGCATGGCAACATCTTGGTGGGGGTGGTTAGGGCTGGCAGTGGGAAGGGGTGGTAGGCTGGGGGGGCCGGTCGCAAGGGACTTCTCCTGGTCCAGCAAAATCGCTCGTTTGGTACTGATCAGATCCCCGGGGTTCTGGACCAGAGAAGTCCAACCTGTAGTACACTTTTTTTCATGTCTACAATTCCCTTTTCCTAAAATATGCACAGGAGGTTCAAATAACAGTGACTCCAATGTATTATACACAATGCAATATTATGATAGGGCAATCACTCCCACACTATCACGGAAGGAGTTAATGAGATGGAGAAGGGCCAATTTACTGGATAGGAGATGCCTGAGGGAATTAGATTTATAAAGGTCTGGGCTACAGTAGGAAATCAGGTCAACATAATTATGTTGCTGTCAGGTGTGAAAAATCCATACCTCTGAGCGATGCAAATAAAACCACCTAACTCCCCATGTAACCTGGCTTTCCCCACTGTGAGCCAGCTCCTGCCTGCCCCCTCTGTTGGAGGCAGAAAGGGGGAGAAGATGCAGCGTCACAGGAGCTGATACGAGCAGAGCGCCGGCTTCCTGCGTGTACTGGCTTCCACCTGCCCCTCTTCGCCCTTTATGCTGCTGCCTCTCTATCAGAGGCAACATGCATGGGGGTGGGGGAGCAGGAGGCTCCATAGAATCCGGTGCTCATGGGGACCAGCTGGCTCCTCACAGGTACCTGATACAGAGACAGCAAGGGGGCGTGGGGAATGTGTGTAGTTGACAGGATTAACCGATAAGTCTGCGCTAATTGGTTAATTGTGTAGTTGTCTACACAATGACATCCCTATTCTTTGACAATTCCTGAGAAGAGGCTAAAAACACACTAAGTTGCTATGGGGTAAGAGGTAAAGCTAATTCTTCACAAGATATAAAATGATTTAAATTAGTTTAGACTAGAATAGACTGTGTGAAACTTCAGAGGACCACAAATCTGGGAAAAGCGTGCAGCATTATGGGAGGTGAAATTCCAATGACAAATGCACACACACATTAGGAGCAATAATTAGATATTTTCAGACACTATGTTGAATTCTAAATTAATTGCAACCCAAACAAAAAAACCTGTATGTCATTGTGACAGCTCAACGTGTAATGGTAGACAAAAAAAGCACACAAAATAGTATGGTAGATATGAGACATAAAATAATATGGAAATATTATAATGTCTGTGACACCCTGTACCCCCATATTTACCATGGTAATATGATTATTATATATTTTGTTGAAAGAATGCCTTGCTGGGTGTCATTTTAGAAGTCTTGATTTGCTGAACATTAATATCCTGTTGGATGGTATGAGCTATCATTATATGTGAAGTTACAAAGTTTGTTATATGTGCGTTACTGAAATATGTTGTAAGGTTGGGAACACCCACAATCAGCATTTCAGGTAAAACAAAGGAGAAACCAGAACTGATGATGGCCCATTAAGTAGAATACACACTCAAAAGGACAGTCTTAGGAACCATATTCAATGGAGATCTCTCAGAAATAGCCTGTAGAGTTAAACAATGGAGACTGCTTGACTCATGTCATAGCAAAGGATCTTTCCAGCCATCTGGAAGAAGCTATAAAAGAGGGAAGTGACATAATCGCTTGGCCTCACTCCTGCCACTCAACACCTGGAAACATGACTGGACAACAAAGATAGTGAACTGGGGAGATGGATCCATGCTACAAAGGAGAATCCTAGCTTGTGTATTTAAGGAACTATTTCTTCACTGCTTGATTCAAATCCTGACTAGTTTACAGAACTCAGATTGCAATTCTACTTTTATTTTTAGGTTGATCAACTTTGATCTGTACACTCAGTACTTATAATCACTTAAAATCTATCTTTCTGTGGTTAATAAATCTGTTTTATATTTTAGGTAAACAAATGGGTTGTGCCTGAAGTGTAAGGGAAATTTGCTCAGGAACAAGACCTTGTGCACATCTTCTCCACATAGACAAAGAGGTGTGCTGGGTAACAGATTTACACTGGGTGAGACTTCTCACCAGGGCAAGACAATACAGTTCTGGGGTCCTAGGCTGGAAAGCTGTAGGGAATTGGCTGGAGCCTCTCTGTTGATGGTTCATGAGTGGCTGATAAAAGCATTCATGCTGGGTTTTACCCTGCCTGTGGATGTCTGTACAAGTGCAATAGAAAGCATCACAGTGTGAGAGGGAGCCCAGAGTGGTAAAACAGAGGACTCAGTAGTACCTCAATTCCACACTGGACCCCAGAGAACCCATCATAATGTCATTGAATAATACAATGGAACATTGTCACCTGGAATACTATTTTCAGTTCTGGTCATCCTATCTCAAAGAAGATATACTAGAAATAGAAGGGTGATAAAAATTATTAATGGTCCAGAAAGATTTTCCTATTAAGAAAAATTAAAGAATATTAGAGGAGCTGGCTGAGGCATACAAAATAATAATAAAGATAAAAGATAACGGTAGGGATAAAGGTAAATTGGGTGCTCTTATTTATCCTCTTTCTTAATCTTCTTCTATGGACAGGTTGTTCCATGGTTATCCATTATGTAATTTCTTGCACCTGTCTCTGAAGATTTTGGTGCTAGCTACTGTCAGGGAAAATACTGAACTAGATGGATGGCCCATATGATCTAGTACAGATGTTCCTAAGGAGTCCACACAAGAAAGGCAGAAAAGTCGTCACCGCCAAACAAACCTGCTCTGAGTACAAAAGGAGAGAACACTTGGTAATTCTAAATATCCACCCCACTTGAGTTCCTGATCAGAGAGAGAGCAGACATTTCTGAATAAACCTCTGATTAACTCTAGATAAATGTAAGTGCTCAAAATCAAATCTGCATCTAATCTAAATTCTTGCACAGGGCAGAAAAATTCTTGACAGTAGCCTATCCACTATTCCAAAACGTTTGAGAACCATTTCAGAGATTTTGATTTCTGTCACTGAAGAACAGAGAAGCTCTTAATTTTTAACTATTCATCATACAAACATCCTATACCCCTCTATTATGCTGTCCTCACATTGTTGCTGTTAGAACTCACTCAGTGTGCACCTAAAACAGAATGAATGCAACTCCAGTAAAGGCTGTGGTATTCAAAACAACACACAGACCTACTGGAGTCCTATCCAAGATATTGGCGCCATCAGCCATTACTAACCGTAAGAGTCTTCTCTGTTCCTCTGTTACTTCAATCTCCAATGGGGGAGAAATGGTGGAGGACAGCAATTTCTTCTTGCCAGATTCTTCAGGTTGCTTCTCATAGGAATCTGTGGGCAGAAAAATTAGAAATACTGTAAATTCAGGCTTTATCCTCGATTGCCCTATGGCTTGGCCTATAGCCCTCTGTGCTTTAATTAAGAAGCAACCACAAGACTTTTCCCTCTTAGACTCATAGGGGACCCGGTCATGGAAGAGACAATAACTATTAGGGAGTATGGTTAATTCCACACTTGGATCCCCCTCAGTGCCAAACAGGAGTTACCCTACATGACAAAGAGTTAGGTCAGCTCATGGGATGCAATTTTTTATTGAGTAATCTGAAATAAGTGTACTGTGACATCCCTCTCTGGCTCTGCAGGTTTCCCAGTCATCTGATGCTTGCCTGCTCTCACCCAGTGGCTTGCTACCAACCAACCCAACAGATACGTTATGCCAGGGAGGAGAAAGAGATGAAAAAGAAGGTTAGTGATCTTTTAAGTGCTCAATGAACAGGCACTGTATTTTATGTTAGTGACCTTTTAAGTGCTCAATGAACAGGCACTGTGCTTTATAGATCTATAACCAAAATTTAGCTAGTCAAGAGAAAAGACTTCTTCATCCTTCTGCATAAAGCTTCAGATGACTAAATCAGGTGTTTTAGGTTTTTCTTCTGATCATGGTGTTTAATTAAACAACAACAAAAACAACCCATGCTCCATCATTCCATGCATTGGTCTGCACTGCTAAACCTCAATCTTATTGATGTTACCCCCATTTTCCTGACTTTATCCATCCTGCCTGTCTTGTTATCCCCTAGTATACCAAATGTATTTCAATCTGAAAGCTCCCTGGGGCATGGATTTTTCTATCTGTTTTGAAACACACCTAGTACTCCTTTATGTGCCAATATTACTACTACACTTGAACCTCTTTAATTCGGCGAGATAGGGTATGCTTGATTAAAGAATGTTTTGGACCATGGGAGGGCACTGGGGTGGGATCTGGGAGTGGGGGAAGGTGTGCGAGGGGTGGAATGCTTACTTGGCACCATGGTTCCACCCCGCCCCTTCCCCAGCCCCTGTGCAGAGAAGTGCTTCGCTATGCTGCTGTTCTCCCAGCTGGGAGAGGGGAAGGAGAGCGGCAGTGCACAGAGCCACTTCCTTTGCCCTCTGCTGAGGTCCGAACCATGGGTGATCCTGGATAAGGGACACCCAGATTAGGGAGGTCCAAGTGTACTCCCTCCACCAGATGCCTGTATGCTCCTAGTGGCTAATGATATGGGGAAGATGGAGGATCAAACTGGATCTCTGGACCCCACAAGGTAATTCATATTTAAAATAATTTTGTTAGCATGCTGTCTCATGGGCATTTTGCTCTCAGTTTCACTTTGCTGGGATGGTGAAGAGCTTTCTTTGGACATCTGAATTCTCACCTGCAATAAGTTGCTCCAAGCGAATACGCTCATGGGCTGCATGCTGATCCACCAACACCAGCAAATTTCCATCTAGAAGCATAATGTAGGAGGTTAAAAACAAGGAACCTTCATACCAAACAACTGCAATGTTGGGAGGAGGAAGGAGCATGGCTCAAGTCTCCTTTAGAGATCAGATTTAGCACCTGGGGACCAGTCTATTTAACAAAGCTAAATTCAGGAGGAAGTTGGGTTAATAGAAAGTAACACTGAAATGTGGGGATCCAGATGAGTCACTTAAACCCAGGGTGGCCAGACTGAGGTTCAAGGAGTTGTATGTACAAAGCTGTCATCAGCCAAATTCCTCTTCTCTATATATATTAAAGATGAGGTTAACTACAATCTGTTCCATTTTATTATGCAGAGTAGATAAAAAACAAGCAGCTATTGGTTTGGAGAGCATTTTTTTAAAAATAACTCAAGTTAGTTTCAATTCAGAAGATTTATAACTCAAGTTAGTTTCAATTCAGAAGATGAAATGCATCCATTAACTGAAAATGAAACTCAATACTTTTGGTAATGTGAAGTATAATGGGTTTATCTACTGCAGCACTAATCACCACACCCTCAGAGAAGCAGCATCAACAAAGTCCTTTAGCAATCTCCAAAAGAGAGAGAGAGAGAGAGAGAGAGAGAAATCCAGGAAATTACAAATGAAGACTAGCACTCTACTTAATTCACAATAACGTGTTTTTTCCCTTATCCTCCAATAGCAAACACAGTACTGGAATCTGCTTTCAATTTTCTGGTTTTTGTGAAATATAAGTTAGAGCTTTAATATAATTGAAATAGAAATTTTGCATTGTTATTTTGCATTTAGCATCATGATACTATAAAACCAAAGAATACACTTCTTGGAAAAAAATGACATCTTCTAAACATGTTTCAGAATATGAAGACAGTGTCTTATCTGCACTGAAACTGTAGGTGAGGGCTAGCTCACCAATGGACACTCTTACCGGCATCTGCATTCACTTCATTTCTAGTGTTGATTAAACAAGCAATAAATTTATTGTCCACTTGGTGAAGAACCTGTAACATATTCAAAATATTAATTATCCACTGTTAAAACCATTATTTAGAAGGGAAACACACAAATTTTTACAGAGAAAAACTCCTTTCCTCACCAAGATAATATTGGGACTACTGGATGAGTTAAAGTGCAGTTCCACCTGAAAAAAGTTAATTTAAAAATGAAACCTTCAGGTTTCCAGATCTCTTTCCCAATGTTTCAGACAAACCTGTTGCTTTTAACAAAAAACAGGACTATGTAGCACTTTAAAGACTAACAAGATGTGTTTCTGTGTGGATTTGTTCCTGAGTAGCTGTAGGGAGGCTTTTAAGGAGACAGTGTAGTTTCTTTTGGTATTCCGAGGTAGGATCAGAGGAGAGAGGTTTGTAAAATGTGGTGCTGGAGAAATGTGGTGTTCTGAAATTTGATTTGTCCTTTTCATATGTGTTCATTTTTTTACCAAAAGAAACTACACTGTCTCCTTAAAAGCCTCCCTACAGCTACTCAGGAACAAATCCACACAGAAACACATCTTGTTAGTCTTTAAAGTGCTACATAGTCCTGTTTTTTGTTTCAGCTACACCAGACTAACACGGCTACATTTCTATCACTGTTGCTTCAGTGACAAATGGTTTTATACCCATTAGCCCTACAGAAGCAACACAATCTACAACCCATCCTGGAAAATGATCCCTCACTCTCAGAGGCCTTGGGAGAAAAACCTATTCTTGCTTACAGACAACCCCCTAACCTGAAATGTATTCTTTCTGATAACCATGCCACTCAACCACATCATAAGGATCCAGGAACCCAGCCCTGCAACCAGAAAAGATGCCAACTCTGCTCACATATCTACACTGACGAATTCATCACTGGAGCAAACAACATTAGCCACAAAATCAAAGGGTCATTTGACTGCTCATCTAGTAATTTGATCTACACCATCAAATGCCAACAGTGCCCCTCTACTATATATATTGGTCAAACTGGATGTTCTCTATGTGAAAGAATCAATGGACACAAATCGGATATACATAAAGAAAATACTCAGAAGCCAGTGGCAGAACATTTCTGTTTACCTAACCATAATCTCACAGATGTGAGTAGGTGGCGGTCTTGTCACAAGCCAGTTCCTCAAGCCAAATCCACAGGGAAAGCTTGGAATTACAGAATGAAGGTGCTAACTACTTTCTGAATGATATCCTTCCTGCCTTATCCATCCACTGACTTTGATCTTTATCTACTCAGGTTTAGCACCCTTTCTCCTGATACTTTATGCATAGAGGTTGGGGGGTTGGCGACAGAACATCTTTCTCTTCCCGCACTTCCCTTCTCCTATTTATTTAGAGTTTCCTTATCTTCTAATCATAACTCCGGTCATCTGAAGAAGTAGGCTGTGCCCACAAAAGCTCATGGTACCATATATTTGTTGGGGTGTGTGTCTCAAACAAATAATGCCTTTATTTTTGCAAATTAAAAGTATTACCTGCATCCTTTTCTTCCAGCAGAAATATTAACAAATATTATGGAATACTATTTGGCTAGTAGCAGTTGAAACATTAGTGTTTACACAAAACTGCTATTGGACTTTTAGTGTACCTGCATTGAGTTAATCATCTCCTTGGTGAAACGATAGGGATACAAGATATTATGAATTTTCACCGCCAGTCTCTCAGCCTGGCCACTGCTCACATCAATAGCAACCTGTGGAGAAGATGAACACAGATAATTTATAGGATGCAGACTTAACTATTGAGCTTAAAGCCACAAAATCAAACAGCCAGCTTTGAGTAAGGGCTATTCTGAAAAGGGGTCCTTCTGAACATAGCACATTGGTTCCTCTAACAAGGACAAAATTAGCTCAAGAACCGCATTTCAAGAAAGATGTGGAGACACTGGAGAGGGTCCAGAGAAGAGCAACACGAATGATTAAAGGTCTTGAGAACATGACCTATGAAGGAAGGCTGAAAGAATTGGGTTTGTTTCGTTTAGAAAAGAGAAGATTGGGGGGGGGGGGACACATGATAGCCATTTTCAGGTATCTAAAAGGGTGTCATAAGGAGGAGGGAGAAAACTTGTTCATCTTGGCCTCTGGGGATAGAACAAGAAGCAATGGGCTTAAACTGCAGCAAGGGAGGTTTAGGGTGGACATTAGGGAAAAGTTCCTAACTGTCAGGGTAGTCAAACACTGGAATAAATTGCCCAGGGAGGTTGTGGAATCCCTGTCTCTGGAGATATTTAAGAGTAGGTTAGATAAATGTCTATCAGGTATGGTCTAGATAGTATTTGGTCCTGCCATGAGGGCAGGATACTTGACTCGATGACCTCTCGAGGTCTCTTTGAGCCCTAGTATTCTATGATTCTATGATTCAAAATACCACTAGGTAATCCCTCTTTTCCTTTCTCAGCACTCTCCCACATACTTACAGCTATTACAGTCAACAATCTGACATTAGTTGTCAGTCTGCACATACACACTCAGTAAGCTAAACATCCCGGAAAATGTATGATCTCAGAATGACTGTTACTCCAGCAGATGTTCTAAAGAATTGGTCCCCTTCAGAAACTCAACAGGTGGTTTACTACTGCATCTCTATTGTACACAAGTGGAAATATGTATATATTGCACATCCTGACTGAAATTGTACATTTACGCACACTACTTCCCTGTGACTATAAAGGAAATTACTCAAAGTTCCATAGATGTAGTGTGCAACATTGTTTCTCCCTCATATTATAAACATATTTAAATGATCCATATAACACAAGCAATGGGGAGGGGAGTATTGCAAGGGACAGAATTTTAAGCCGACAATAAACAGTTTTGTTTCCAAACAATACTAGGTACAGTGTTCTTTAAAATCAGCTGTAATATCAACCACTTCTGATTTGCACAAACCCACAAAATGAACTCACATTTAAACAATCTATAAAACAGTACCGCAGACATATATACAATAGAAGAAAGAGTTACTCACCCTGTGCAGTAACGGTGGTTCTTCGAGATGTGTCCCCGTGGGTGCTCCACTCTGGGTGCTGGTGCATCCTTGCGCCAGCAACTGGGGACTTTTTCCAGCAGTTTCTGCCGCGCTGCACAGGTGCCAGAGCACCCCCTAGTGCCGCTGGAAAACTAAGGTGCCTGCGCGGCGCGGCTCCTCCGTTCCTTCTCTACCTGCCAGAATAAGAAGCTCCAAAGCAGGGGAAGGAGGGAGGGTAGTGGAGCACCCACGGGGACACATCCTGAAGAACCACTATTATTGCACAGGGTAACTCTTTCTTCTTCTTCGAGTGGTCCCCGTGTGTGCTCCACTCTGGGTGACTACAGAGAGGTTGTCAGCTCACGAAGGTGGGTTTGGAGCCATGTCGTAGTCACTGATGATAGTACTGCATGTCCCTCTGCCATAGAGGATACAATGGAAGAAGAGAGTGCATAGTGTTGTGCAAATGTGCGGTCAGATGACCAAGTGGCGGTGCTGCAGATATCCTGAAGAGGAACGTTGTTCAGGAAGGCTGTTGTGGAAGACATAGCTCTCGTGGAATGAGCTGTTCTTGATTCAGGTAAGTGTTTATCATATAAGTCATAGCAAGTTCTAATGCAGGAGGTGATCCACTTAGAAATTCTCTGAGATGAGACTGCCTGTCCTCTAGATTGTTCAGCGTAGGACAACAGCAGCTTGGGACAAGCTCGCCAAGCTTTGGTTTGATCCACGTAAAATGCTAGTGCCCTCTGGACGTCGAGTGTATGCCATGCAGCCTGGATTGGGTTGGCATGCGGTTTGGGGAAAAACACAGTTAAGTGTATTGGTTCGTTAACATGAAAGGTGGAGGATATTTTAGAGAGGAACTTCGGGTGGGGTCGAAGTATCACCCTGTCCTTAGTGAATACTGTGTAAGGGGGGTCAGTCATCAAAGCTGTGAGTTCGCTCATCCTCCTGCTGGAGGTTATGGCAACGAGGAAGGACACCTTCATAGACAAATAGGACCAAGAGCAGGTCGCCAGCGGTTCAAACAGTGGCTTCGTCAAACTTTTAAGGACATGGTTGAGATCCCAGACAGGGACTGGTGGGCAGACGGGTGGGAAGGTGTTCTGCAGTCCCTTAAGGAAGCGTTTAGTTAACGGGTTAGCGAGGAAGGAAACGCCATCAATTGGGTGATGAAAGGCTGCTATGGCAGCTGCATGCATTCTGATTGTGCTAAGGGCGAGGCCCGACTGTTTTAGGGCACGTTGTGTGGAGATCATTATACCAGTGAGAGAATCTTTTCCATTTGTATAGGTATGATTTCCTTGTGGATTGCCTTCTACTATTAATTAGTATCTCTTTTACCGGTCCCAAACAGTCTCGGCATCCTGGAGCCATGAAGGAGCCAGGTGTGGAGATGGAGCTTTCGGAGGTCCGGGTGGAGAGAGTCATCCCATGATTCTCCTGTGACAGGAGGTTGTGCTGGAGCGGAAATGGGAACGGATCTGACATTGTCATCCTGGGAGGTAGGGGTACCATGTTTGTCTGGGCCAAGCTGGTGCCACCAGAATAACTCGTGCTTGGTCCGTCCTGATTTTGTTGAGGACTCTGAGCAGTAGGGGGAAGGGTGGGAAGGCGTAAAGAAGATGAGTGTTCCATGAGATGGAAAAGGCGTCTCCGAGGGAATGTTTCCCCAGGGCTCCTCTGGAGCAATAGAGGTGGCATTTTCTGTTGTTCTTTGTAGCGAAGAGATCTGTCTGGTTGTCCCCACCGGAGAGGGATGAGGGCACGCCTGTCTATTTCCCATTTGTCTTGATCATGAAATGTGCGGCTTAAGAGTGTCCGTTGTGATGTTGAGTACCCGTGGGAGGTAAATGGCTATCTGAGTCACTTGATGTATAAGGCACCAGTTCCAAAACTTGATAGCTTCCGTGCACAGGGATAGTGATCTAGCACCCCCCCGTCAGTTGATGTAATACACGCACGTGGTGTTGTCTGTCATGATGGTAATCGACTTGTGTGCAATGTATTGTTTGAAATGTTGGCATGCATATCTGACTGCTCGTAGTTTGAGAAAACTGATATGGAAGGTTTGTTCTGTCAAGGACCATTTGCCCTGTGCTGTAGTATTGCCCAAATGGGCTCCCCAGCCCAAAAAGGAAGCATCCATCACAATTGTGAGCGTAGGAGGAGGATTCTGGAAGGGAATGCCTGCTAGCATGTTCTGTGGATCTGTCCACCAGTGGAAGGAATTGAGAAGACGGGGTGGGATAGCTACCACTTTGGAAAGTGGATCTCTGGAAGGCTTGTAGGATGTTGCCAGCCATGACTGTAGACTCCTCATAAGGAGTCTGGCGGGCTTCACTACGTACATCGTAGAGGCCATACTTGATTGTTGACTCTTCATAAGGAGTCTGGCGAGCTTCACTACGTACATCGTAGAGGCCATACGTCCAAGAATTTTGAGGCATTTGCGTATCATCATGGAAAGGGTTAGACATGCTGTATTGATCAGGTCCCAGATGGTAACAAACTTGTGTTCGGGTAGGGTAGCTTTGCTATCGTGTGGAGGTAAGCACCTATGAACTCTAACCTCTGTGCTGGAAGTAGAGAGGATTTTGCGTGGTTTATATGAAATCCTAGGTTGACCAAAAAGTGCATTGTGGTATCGGTCATGGTCTTGGTTTCTTGGAAGGAGGAACCTTTTATGAGGCAATCGTCCAAGTATGGGTATATCATGACCCTCTGACGACGGAGTGCGGCCATTACGACTGCTAGGGTTTTGGAGAAGACCCTTGGGGCGGTCGAAAGGCCAAAGGGGAGCACTTGGTACTGGTAGAGTTGGGTACCTACGGTAAAATGCAGAAAACATCTGTGAGCAGGGTGGATCATGATATGGAAGTAGGCAACCTGGAGGTCAAGTGCCGAAAGCCAATCTCCTTGATCAAGTGACAGGATTATTGTTGCTAAAGTTACCATCTTGAAACGTTGGTAGGTGATATACTTATTGAGTCGCCTCAAATCCAAGAGGGTCGCCATCCTCCACTCTTCTTCTGAGTTAGGAAGTAGGTTGAGTAGAATCCTCGACTTTGGAACTCTGGTGGAACTGGTTCTATAGCACCCAGTTGTAGAAGGTGTGAAACCTCTTGAAGGAGAAGGGTTTCGTGAGATGGGTCTCTGAAAAGGGACGGGATAGGAGGATAGGTGGGAGGTGGGAAGTAAATGAGATAGCGTAGCCATATTGGATCAATTCCAGGACCCATTTGTCTGATGTAATGAGGGCCCATTGGTGGTAGAAGGCCCGAAGGGGGTGGTGGAATTGAAAAATACCGGTTTTCAGTGATGGAGGAATGGCTTTCTGGCTGTCAACATAATTTTCAAATCTGCTGTTTATTTGCTGGTGGATGAGTAGCGGGGTGTTGTTGCTGCTGACGTTGAGGCCTACGATGCTGGGGACTTTGTCTCTGGCGGGAGTAGTATCTGGTATGTTGCCTGAAAGGCTCTCTGGAGCGTTGGTAGGTTGATATCTGGTCCTCTTAAAGTGGGAGTGTACAACCCCAGGGTTCTGAGAGTAGTCCGAGAGTCTTTCATGGAGTGTAAGACTTCATCCATTTTGGCTGAAAATAAGTTAGTCTTGTCAAATGGTAGATCTTCTACCTTTTGCTGTAGGTCTCTCGGAACCCCTGATGCCTGTAGCCAAGACAGCCTTCTCAGGACAATGGCGGACGTAGTGATACGATC